CATGTAGGTCATTTACTGTAGAATAAGAAACTAACCACTTTAAATTCAGTGATTGTTACAGAATACCACCACCTTGACTTAATAGTCCCAAAATTTGAAACTGGGGGAAAAAAGTCACAATTGGAACGAGTAAGATTCATATCCAGATAAAGATAAAAACAGCGTTACAAAAGCATTTTAAAAATAATAAAAAGCAGACAATTCCATTTAGCTATATGGAGTTTCCATCAAGGAGCAATGAAAGCCACTTTGGAGTGCAAATGAGCCATGGCAAGCGGGGGAATAGGCAGATAGTGTTACTAGGCTGGACATGTGCCTATCATCTTGATGTTCCATGTTAAGTTGAAAACAAAGTTTGGTAGGCAAAGGTTAGGGTAGGTATCACAAACTGCGTATGCAATTTGGTTTATGGTTTACTGCAGCACATTTCTATGCACAAAACATGCTGTTTGGGGATGAGGGAAGTCACAGAAACTGTGAAAAGTCCAACAGTGCAAGGCCAGATGCTGTATGGACTTTTCATATATTCAAACTCAAAAAATGTCACAAGTTTTATGACCTTACAACTGTACCAAATGCCAGTTATTGCAGATGTTTGGACTTTGGGTGCACCTCTGGCAAAAAGAGACTGAACCAAAGTAATGCTCACTGGGGACATTTTTCAATATAAAACCCTGCAAAAGGACACCAAGGGCACATGATAGATCTTAGAGTCTGCTGCTGAGAAGCACATGCTAGCTCTCTTTGCAAGAAACAGGAGAGAATATGTCCACCATCTGAATGACCCACCAGTATTTTAGCTGCTAGATCCTCTCTCTCCTCTCAACCAGATGATGATTACAGAGAAGTTTAAAATATGACATGAGTTCACCCAAATGACTCAGACACCTGCTGCTACACCAAACAACAGATTTTTTTTAAAAAGGACTCCTCCTAAATGGAAAGTTTACATACCTAAGAATCTAGCCCAGAGCTTGTCAATAAGAAAAGATAAGTCACAGATATGAGAACCTTAACTTTTTTCTAAATTTGTGGGCTTTAAAGCCAACGTTATTTTAATGTATGACTGTTATATATCCATAAGCACATCTGGGAGGGTAAATAAATAAATAATCTAATGAAAGTACTGCCCCAAAATACAAAGTGTTGCCAACAAATCTATACAGGCACGTCAGACACTAGATTTATGTAGTTCCTAGGAAATTATGGATTCCTAAACAAAACTTTCATACATTTCAAACAAAAAATCTGTACTAATTTCTGACTATCAATATGAAATTTACAATTGATTTTCACTGTTTCTGTATATTTTGTATGCTTCTAAGCCCTTCGTCCAACTTTTCTTCATTTTATTACTCATATAAATATGTTAATTTCACTGTTTGAAACGACAATAAAATATTTTGAAAAAATGAGTAAATTTAATTTACTCTTTAGAGATGAGAGGGTAAAAATGTCCTACACACAAGAATAGTGTAATACAGGCAGTCCCCGAGTTACGCGGATCCGACTTATGTCGGATCCGCAGTTACGAACGGGGCCCTTCCTCTCCCTGGTCTCCAGCAGACCAGGGAGAGGAAGCAAAGCGGCGGAACACGCGGGCAGCGGACAGGGCTGTCCGCTGCCCACGATTCCAATTTCCACTGTGGCTGTTAATTAATGTGGTGAAAGCTATTATTCGTATGTGGATTTAGGATTAGAAATACATTTATAAGCTATTACCTGCAACTAGAGATTAACGAACTAGATACAGGCAGTCCCCGGGTTACGTACAAGATAGGGACTGTAGGTTTGTTCTTAAGTTGAATCTGTATGTAAGTCGGAACTGGCATCCAGATTCAGACACTGCTGAAACTGACCTCCAGTTCTGACTTACATACAGAATCAACTTAAGAACCCCAGGGGCCCCCAAGTCAGCAGCTGCTGAAAATGATCAGCAGCTGATTCCAGGAAGCCTGGGGCAGAGCAACTCTGCTTCGGGCTTCCTGTAGTCAGCTCCTGGTCAGTTTCAGCAGCGGCTGACTTGGGGACACCTGGGGCAGAGCAGCTGGGGGTAAGTCGGAACTGGTGTCCAGACTGATCAGTTTCAGCAGCGGCTGAATCTGGACGCCAGTTCCGACTTACATACAGATTCAACTTAAGAACAAACCTACAGTCCCTATCTTGTACGTAACCCGGGGACTGCCTGTACCTACAAAACAAGTAATAAAATCTTAATTTCCTTACTGAGATCTATTTTAAAGGGATTGCTTTAAGGTGATTATCTGTCTTCTCTGATTTGTTTTTAAAGAAAGACTTCATTATGCACACATCCTCACCATATATATCATCTGAAATTGTTCAAAATACTTCCTGGAAAAGCTTTTTCTAAAATTCACCTTTCATTTTGAATCTCCAGAATGATAATGATCTTAAGGCAGCTCCCTCCATGCACCAGCTCCTAGGGAGACAGCTTGCCAACCCGTGCTGCTGCCTCTGTATCAGCTCTCCAGGAGCGGAGCCGACAGGTGGGAGCCAGTATGCAGCAGGAGCTGGCTTAAACAGCAACTTCCAGTGTGCCCTGGCTCCCGAGGAACCAGCTGCCTCTCAGCACTACAGGTGCATGTAACCACTGAGATTATCAGCAGTTACACAGTTACCTGCTTTTTAATATTCAAAGTATTCACATTCAGTGGAATGCAACATAGCATCAGCATGTATGGATGAACTGAACAGAATATTTTTCTAAATACTATTAGTGCAGGAGCTATTCGCCCACCTGAATCCTGCGTATTTGGTTGTTTTGTTGTTGTTTTTCAAAATCAGAGCTAGGAGAACATAATTTGTGCTCCTCTATAACTGTCGCATTCATCTTCACTTACTGGTTGTTCTGAGTTCTACATAGCTACCTGGGAACTTCTCCATCTACCTTCTAGACTCCATGAGTACAATTTATAAAATGTGCCACCCAACTTTATTTTTTCTAATGGACAAAATACATAGGCGTTGGATATGTTAGGCAGGGGAAGGCATGGTCCTCCGAAACTGCCAGACTGGCCCTGCTCACACTCCAGCCCCAGAATGCCTACTGCTCCCCTCTTCACCCCACCAAGTGCCTGCCCTCCATGTGCTCCGGGCTTGGAAGGCTGGGGCTGCATGTCTTCCTCCTTCTTCATGTTCCAGGGACAGAGAGGTTTGGACTGCATGCAGCCCAGGGAGGCTGGAGCCAGGCACTCTGCTCCCTCCCCATGCTTTGGGTCTGGGGAGGCTGGAGCTGTGCACAGCCCGCCCTCCCCATGGTCTGGGGCCAGGGAAGCAGGGACCATGTGCTGCCCCACTTCCCCATTGTGCTGTGGGCATTTTGGCTCCTGCAGGGGGGCAGGGCCTGGAAAGAAGGGGTGTGGCTAAGGTCAGGGCTGCCTCCAGCCCTACCTTCACCCACCGTCCATGATAAAATACTCAACATGCAACAAATATAGGAAACTATACCTATGTCACATGCAATTTATCTTTTCCTTTAAGTTACTGGTTGACAGCAGTGCTTCCTCTGAACAGCAAAAGAAAAAGAATTCTACCTATATATTTTAGAAACATCTGTCTGTGGGTCTGTTTGTTCAAGAACTCCTAAATGGTAAGAAGCAGGGCCATCAAATTTGGTATGCAACTTTCTCTTACCCGAACTTAAAGTAAGATCAGGGCTTGGTTGTGTCAAGAGAAGAGGAAGTATTGGGAACGGGATGGGTTACCAGAACATGGAAAGAGAGGGGCACAGAGAGGAGGGACGCGAAACTGAGAATGGCTTCTAGGAGTAGCGAGCACTCAGAAGAGAGCTATACTGCAGAGAGACCACTGGGGACAGCAGCACTACAAAGAAAGTGGCCAGCAGGGCTGGGGCTCTGCCATCTTGCCTGGCACTAAACCGGGTAAGTAGCCCTGCTATCCTAAATCCTCCCTCCCCTGGCATTTGGCTGCAGCACAAAGAAGGAGGGCAGAGAAAAGGCCCCTGATAGCCACAAGGGCTGGAGGGGTAGAGGAGAGAAAAGGCCCCACCCAAATAGGACACCCCCCCCCCAAACCCAGAGCTTCTCTTCACTCCCCAGTCCTAACTCTTGTACCCCTCAAGTCCCCAGTCTTCCGCTTCTGGAGACCCCATCCCGCCACCAGGCCCCTGTCTTGAAGGACCTGGGCAATGCTGGGTAAGTCTTTTAGATGCATACAAAATGATTTGAGTATTGTCATTTTTTGCTTTAAAATGTTACTTTTACATATCACAATTGAATCTCTCATTTTCAGACAGCTTACTAAAACATAAACAAGAATAAAACACGTCTTCCTGCTATTTTACTGTCTGTAATAAACTGCAAGGCCTACTGCCAAGAGAAAATTTTACAAGATTTACGTTTGATTATCAAGAGGAGTAAATGTTTGACCATGTCTGAAGATCCAGAGTAAGAAATCATTGTATAATCAGATTCATGCTGGATGATATGAAAAAACAAAGTCAGGCTTCCAGTGCCTTTATTTACAGTTCATCACCACACCTTTCCAACCCAACACATTGCACTGTTGCAAGGGTTTATGAGATCATATATTAGACAGAAGCTGCTAGCATATGGAGTACATGGAGAACCCCTGTTTAATGCAAATGGCAAAATAAAGAAAGAAAAAATGATGGACAGGTTGGTAGAAAAATCTGTAAGGCAAGTCAATATTTTAATTAAAAAATTACCTAGGAGAGACAATGCTAATGAGCCAAAATTCCCACAAGAATATTTTTATTATTTGTCTGATTTTGATGTCCTGACTCAACAAAGATGGAAATGTCCTCACTCAGGCTTGGTTAAGGGAGCATATTCTTTTAATTACTATAGTAGAACATTAGAGTTCAAAACACAAGGGCTTCCATATTAATCTGAGAATTTTAGCCACTCATTGTCACTCCCTCACAGTTACCAGACCGGAAACTGAACTTCTGTCAAAACACATCAGATTTTTCTAGTCACATAAAACTTCAGAAATACCTGGAAGTTCTTCATAAATGTCATCATCTATTGGTGCAGTGGTGACTGGAGGAGAAACTTGTTCAATGTCATCATATTCTTCCTCCTCAGGAATGACACTAGAACCCAAGTCTGTAACAGCAATTTAGAAAATTAGCATTTACAGGAATAGAAGATGAGCCTAAATGGAGGTTTGTGCAGCATACAGCACACTATTTTAAGAGGATTTTATTGAATCTTAAGAACAGCTGAAATTGCTTTTATAGGTCCTTATGAAGTATATTAACTACTTTAGTTTTCAGGTGTCAGAAAAGATCTTCAAGATAAATACCAACTGAAGAAAATGAAAGTTAAGTTAAATTGTGGTCCCCTTCTAGGTACCATGTAAAATGCTTTTTGGTTATCAGATTCTCCAAGAGGTATAGGGATAAACCTATCTACAAAGAGTTAAGATATATAAAAATATTTAGAAAAACAAACAGTCTTGAAGAAGAAGAAAAGTAATGCAAGAAGCACAATGCAGATGAGACACAGCACAAGCTATCTGAAGCCAGGATTAAAAATGGTTATTGTGTATTATGCACATATTGTACACCTATTAGTAAATAAAGCTATTATGAATTAGCACTATTAAAAACAAAGAATATTGTTTTACAGATTGACTTACCTTGTAGTACAAATTTGATTTCCTGTACCCATTCCTCTGCTTCTTTGGGAGTAGCTGCTGTAAACTACAATAAGCATAATATTAATAATAGTTATAATTGTAATATAAATATAACCAACATCACATCGGTAATGGAAGGAAATGTAGCATTCTTGTCACTTCTTCAAGGAACCATTAGTAATTCTCTTCATGTCTGCTGGTACTTTTCTTGCAAGGATGCTTCTTATAATGTACAGTTAATTTTGACAAATTTACGTAATTGAAGCAGAGGATGATGGATTTGAAACTCTGATCAGCAGCTGGCAGCTGTGCAGAAAAAAGCTGCTTCTCTTCATCAATGTCAAAGCCAGAACTGATGAACAAAATTTGCCCTTGACAATTAGAAGACACCCATGAATTTCTTTAGACTGCTGGATACAGTTTTCTTAAAAATGTTCTTGTCAGATTCCAACACACTACCTGACAACTTAATTAACTGGCTTTCAACTGCAATCTCAGATATTTAAAACTTATTAAACTTACATTCCATATTGATGCCTAGCTGATAGATCTTTGAATTGCATAGCTGATATGTGCTTTTACCTTGATATGCCTTGCAAAGTCCTAAGCAACACAATATGCATTTAACTCAGATGTTTCTTCTTTGATAACTAAATTTTTATAATATAATTCATCCCAAAAATCATGTAGACCAATTACATCTAGATTGTATAGATAAAATGCTAACATCAAAATGACCAAAAGATAAGAGTAATGGATTTGCTTGCTCTTGTTCAAAAAGATAGTAATTGAGCTTAATCTTAATTTTTAAATGTATTTCTTTATTATATGAATGTACAGTGTAAAAAAAACAGCATTCCTTTTTTTCATTAACGTATCAGAGAGATTTGCCTCCATAATGGGAATCGTAACGGTTTTATCAATTTAATTTCAAGACGACATAAGAAGTCCAACCTGATAAATGCGTTTATCGGGAGCCGAGATTTCAAAACAGCAATCTTTCTTTCCATCCTTCCGAAGGGTATTATTCATTCTGACGGCATATCCATCTAGACCAAATTCACCTTTCTGTTGTTTGTCTGTTGGAGATAAAAACAAAGTTAGAACTTAATTTACAACAGTAAATGTAAGCGGTCCAGCAGGTTATCATTTATTCAGATTTTTTTTTTCTGTTTCATGAATATTACAATGAACAGGGAGGTTTTAAGCAAAACAATTAGATGATGCTTTTAGAGATAAGACTTTATTTTAAAAGGAAGTATAAACTAAAGTACATTTTATATAAGAAGCCTAAGCAATCCCATAAGAAGATGTCTGCAGATGGTGGACCTGTTTAGTTAGAAGTGAGACACTTGTATCAAAGGAAAGCCAAGAACTGGAACACACAAGACAAGCTTACCATAAGTCAGTCTCTCAGTTTCAATGGGGAAACCTTTCTAGCTTCTAACTTGCTGAGCCTCATGCTAAACTTATTACCATCTTCCCTCAAAACAGTAAACTTCAAATTCACTTTTAAGCGGGTGTAAAAGCTTCTCTTTCTACTGAATCCTCTTCCGGATGCACCTCTTTTGTGCAAACTCCTGAATCAATTTAGAAGTTCATTCAATACCTGCAGTGTGTCCCAAGAGAATTCTCCACCTAACACTACCACTGGCGAATTAAAAGCCAAGAAGAGGACTGAATTTGATCAGAGTTCAACATTTATATCACAGACAATTCCAGATCTCAATTCTATGGATTCTCAAGATTCTTGTTTATAAGGGGCTGACTTACAGACAACTAAAGCCAGGGTTGAAACACAAAAAAAGGTTAGATTAAGGTACCTCTGCTTCTTTTAGAGACTGTACACTCTTCAGGATACGGCCCGTACTGTCTTTATATGTGGAACGTCCAATATAAATAAAATTTGAATAAGTAACAACAATAATGCTAAGATCCACAATCTCTTCATGCCATTCTGCTATACTCCAAGTAGAGATGGCTGACATCTGTACTGTAAAGTGAGTTGTGCGATGCTGAAGGCCTATTCCCCTTGCCATCCTGGGGATAATGCAGAGGAATGCTGTGCAGCCCTATTACATGGGAAAATGCTCTATGCTTCTTCTGTAAATAAAAATATGTGATTCCTTTCTTGACCCACCCATACACCCGTTTATGCAGAGTCAGTATGTGATGCTACCTGGGCATGCCAGGGGTTCACAGACAGTCACCATAAAACTACTTTGCTGGCAACCCCACGTGCACACAGTCCCAAATCTATTTGTGCTGCCCCACTACAACAGAGTGAGTTTTCACCCAGGTCAAGTAAATGCTGAGCAACAAATTAGCACAAATAAATTAAGAGTATAAAAATGAGTTCTCTGTCTCCTTTTCCTAGTTACTCCTTCCAATAACTTTTGCTATGTCTATTAACTACTGTTCTATAATATTAACATTTTATGTCTGTTCGCATCCTCTCCACATGTGCAAAATTCATGGAATTATAGATTATCATACTGACGCAGGTACTAGAAATAATAACTTGCAACAGGCTAAACCAAGTCCCTTTTCAATGAAATTCATTTCAGTCTAGAAATATTATTGTTCATTCACTTATGACCTCAGGGAGCAGATGAAGTAGAATACATTAATTTCTCACTCTCTGTGCTGGAAGTTTATCAAAACCCAGAAAGACAGCAGCACACAGCTGGAATAAACAAATACCAGGTTCAAAAGGTAAAACCATTTTGTCAAGATAAAAATGAGGCAAGTTATTCAAATTTAGTATCTTGGAATATTTGTGAGAAATTCTCACTTGTACTGATGACTGCTTTATATGGTAATACAATTTTTCAGAGTTACTCCAGAATGATCTCTATACCTCTACAAGTTCCTTCAAAAACAATACAATTAGACTACAAAGAATGCAATACAGCCTGTAATACATGAGAGCACAGCATACGCCATTCATATGGTCTTGGATTGTGTTTTTATATCATCTTCGATTTCTCTCTCAAAACACAAAACTCCAGTGCTAATAATAAATCAAATTTACAAAATAGGCTAGCTACAGGATTGCAATTTTCCCTTTCTGGTCACATATACAATGAAGGTCTCAACTGAGGCCCTGATCTTGTAAAGACTTTCACACACACTTAATTCTACACACTGTGAACAGTTCCACTCAATATAATAGAACCACTCCCAGACCTCATTCAAATCCCAGTAAAGTCAATGGAAAGATACTCATTGACTTCAACAGGCTTTGGATCATGCCCACAGTGTGTATGTTAAGTATGTGCATATGGCTTTGCAAGACCAGGCCATCACTGAGCAAATTCCTTTTTTGTATTTTTACAGAGATGTCATGCAGTTATCAGTTTACAACAGAAATAGACTTCTGGATATCCTGAGCTCTGCTGTGGTGAAAAGTTAAATGCTTTTTACCATTTTAATTAAAATAGCTCAGACATAAATGTGTTTACTTTAATATAGAAGCTAGTTTCTTACTTATTTTAGTGTCGGCATATTTTAGGCATGCATGCATTCTTCTGCCTGCTGGGAGACATTCTGCATTTTTTCAACTAAATTCTATGAGATCTGGGAGAATTTCATTTTCCAATTCCTGCATCTCCAACTCAAACCAGAGATTTTGCCGATTACAGTATAAGTGTGATGGAGTGGCCACGGGAAAATAACTATGAACACAATATGATTTTCAGTGAAAGGGTAGCATTCTCATTGTCTTTCCTCCTCCTAACAATAGATTTGTAATCTGGTATCTTGGGTCGTTACAGTGTGCCACACACTGCAATAGAGTTACACTGATAATGATACTACAGGGGGAAATGAAAAGTATCAAGCCAACTTGTTCTCGAATCATCCTGCTAAATTTATTCTCTGAAAGCCCATTTCCGAATGCAACTTTATATTGCTCCTATCCTCTCTCTCGGCTGCATGTCAAAACAAAGAGAAAACTCTGGGACCCTGTAGAGAATTTTTGCTTCACAAAGCTACAATAGTATAAAATGAGTACAAAGCAATGAAAATCAGGCCTTCTGTATTCGTTTTGTAGAGCAGCTTTGATATAAGCTATCAAAAATATTTTATAAAGATCAATAGTAATATGAGAGAAACTTCTTGGGAGGGATAAACAGGATAAGACAGGTATGTTTTTGACTGAGATTTGAGAGTCTGTCAAGTGGAGAAAAGCACTCAAGGCTCTTATATCAAGAGCTGTGAAATATTGTGATGAGATGGAGATGAGCCAAGTGCTAGATGGGCAAAGGTAATCCTGAGGGAAGCAGAGAAAGACAAGGTTTTCAAATGGCTTTGGGCAACTGCATCCATGAAGAACTTTGAAATAAAAGAGGTTGCACCTTGAACTAGATCTTGAAATGACTGGGCTGCCAGCTTGAAGATGAAGCAGATGTGGCCATATTTTTTAGCACATGTGAAAAGGCTGCAGCGTTGCACAAATCCTGAACTATGGAGAGAGCTAAGACTGTGGAGAAGGGAGGTGATAGAGCAAGGCATGAAGAGACAAAGACAGAGTGGGATTTCAGATAATGATAAAGTATGTACAGTACTTTTATTTGTTAGATTGTAATGGCTATGAATTACAGATGCATGCAGTATTTACTCATATCTAGATAAGCGTATTATTCACCCGAGAAACTGAAGCAGCTCTAAACTGTTATGATGACACTTCTATGATCGGTTAGGTGAATGGTATTTTGGCAAGCATGCAAAAGTTGAAAATGTCAGCTATGCGTGACAGTCATAAAATTTTGATCTGGTAAACAATATCAACTGTTTCTATGACATAGGGCTTGTTTACAAAATGGAGTAATGTGCATAATGGCATTTTGATAGTTTCTAAGTGCTGCAAGACTATTTGTTGTTTAGAAATTACACTGCCCTTCTGGAAAAATTTAAACTGTGCTAGCATGTTGTGTGTTAATTTGTTCATATACATCCTGCAAAAAGATTCCCAAGTGTGCTTTAACCCAGTACAGGTTGGACTTCCCAAAACTGGAACTCTCTAATCTAGCAACACCCATGGTCCAGCAGGACCATAAATGTTCCTGAACCAAGGAGTCCTGGCTGGGATCCCCAGTGGCAAGAGGGCTCATGGCTCGGAGCCCGGCAGGGCTGGGACCAGGGCCAGAGCCCCAGTGGCACAGCTGGGGCCACAGAAGCACAGTAGCACAGCTGGGGCCCTGACTGCAGGGCTGGGGACTCAGCAGCTGTGACAGCCCCAGTAGTGGTGCCGAGACAAGGATGCAGCAGCCCTTGTAGAGGGGGTAGGGACACGGCAGCCATGGCAGCCCTGGTAGCGTGGCCAGGGACATGACAGCCGTGCCCCCCCTCGTAGCGGGGCCAAGGATGCAGCAGCAGCTGCAGCAGCAGCTGCAGCAGCCCTGGTAGCGGGTGTGGAGGGGAGTGGCTGGGGTCAGCAACAGGGAGAGGTTGTGGGGGGACCTCCCCGATCTGGCAAATTCCCTTGTTCAGGACCGATCTGGTCCTGAGGGTGCCGGACCAGAGAGGTCCAACCTGTATACCAGAAGGGTTTACCCAGACCACGTTCGTGCTTTTTAGAAATTACATCCATGGAGTATGTCTTTCATAGGAACCTATTACCCTCCACCTGTTTTTCCTATTTGCTATCTGGTCACCCGAACAAGCTTATGTTATTAGAATATATCTAACTCTTCCTTAGTTTTGAGATTAAGGTTCTCCTAGGTCTCTGAAACTCTTTCTAATGTTCTGCATTGTTTCATAAAGTAGGTCTTGTATATGAAGTAAACATGCTTGCTAAATATTAAAGCACTAAAACCTCCAAATGGTTTAAGAACTTCTAATTTTGGAACAGCCCTTTCAAGACATATGTGCAAGAATGCATTTCTTTTACAAGACTGAATAAGTATGCAGCCATTTTTAATATAAAGGTGCTAATGCACGAGCAAAAATTTTACTGCCTTGTTACAAATATAAAACAAGCAATAACCTTTTGCTCTTAAAAAAAGGCAAATAACCCCAAAACAAATTAACAGGATCATGAAAATGCTGATAAAAAAGTAGTTATCAAATCATTTCTGTGTCACTTTAAAAAACATGTCTGCTGTATGTATACAGTGCATTGACTAAATAATCATTTGAGGGAAATTGGAGATATAGTACTTATGGCCAGATATTCAAGAGAGCTCACCAAAAAAAAATGGGAACTGCAGAATACTTCTGAAAATCCTTGCCAGACTAAACTGAGTAGGATTTCTGTTGCCTTAAATTTCATCTTCAGGAAAACTGAGTGAAATTCCAGTGGGTCAAATGTCTAAGATGTACTATATAAGATTCCAATTTATATTTTATAGGCTGAAGTGAAGAATTGGAAGTTATTGGGCCATACTCTTGGTCTACTATGGACTCTTTAAAGGCAGCATGACAACTTCGGTACGGGAATGGCTCCTCAGAGCTAAAGAAGTGGGCATAAACTTAGAACAAGTTTATGACTATTTTAAGTTGCACTGGGTGTTGATAAGGGAAGAAGAATTGTGAAGAAAAGGTGCCTCCTCTTACCTCCGATGCTGCACAGAACATAGCTCAGCTAGATTAGAGAACCTAAGCCGCTGTTCTACATTCTGCTTGATCAATATTTTCTTGTCTTTCATTTTCCTTTGGACTTCAAAACTTTAACTATTACTATTTATATATATTTAGGTAGAGTCTAGAGGTTCCATACAGGATCCTATTGTAGGCACTAAACAAACATGTACAGCTATGACACCTAAAGCTAAACTGAATGCTTGATTGTGCATGTAAATATCCCATTAAAATCAACAGGCACTGCAAACATGAATCTAAAGGCTAAATTATATACCATGAGGTTTTAAGAAAGAAGAAATCTTTCACCAAGTTGTATGTGAACCTGTGTTCTCATGTGTATACTCGGCAAACCAATCTCAAATTGCTTCACATCCCCCCGATAGAGAGAGTATAGGCTTGTTAACTGGTTGTTACACTGTTGTGGTGTCTTTTCTTTCACTTTCCGCTTTCCTATGCAATAGTTTTCAATGGACTATTTCAACAGTATTATTTGTGACCTAAATATAATACTACAGCTAGAGAAAATCCTGTAAACACCAGAGTTGGTGCTTACTGCTTTGAACAGAGGACATGAATATACTGTAAAAGCTAACACCATCTTGACGACAAGGCTGGTGGATATTTTGAGCTAACTTGATACACTCCTCAGTATTCAGATTAAAATTAATGGAATAAAAACATATTTGATATTGCTATTCTTGTACCTGCAAAACCCCCACTAACTTGTGACCATAGGAATTATATGCAAGAAAAGAATACACAATTCTAACCCATTTTAGGTTAGTCACAATGAAGGAAGGGGAGAAACAGATATATCCTAGGTAGAGGGTTACACTGTATATTCCTTTTATTTTATACGGTTTGTTTCCTGCCATTGCTTAGGCTGGTAATATAACTGCAAAACTTGACCAACCTCATGGCTAACATTAGTAAGAAACTTTTATTTTAATCTGTGTTGAAAATCAAATGCAACCGTCATAGAATACTAGAACTGGAAGGGACCTTGAAAGGTCATCAAGTCCAGTCCCCTGCCCTCATGGCAAGACCCAGTACCGTCTAGACTATCCCTGATAGATGGCTATCTAACCTGCTCTTAAATATCTCCAGAGATGGAGATTCTACAACCTAGGCCATTTATTCCAGCGTTTAACCACCCTGACAGGAAGTTTTTCCTGATGTCCAACCTAAACCTCCCTTGCTGCAGTTTAAGCCCATTGCTTCTTGTCTTAGCTGACTGGAGGTTTTGCAAAGAAATTAAAAACCTCACATAACAGTTTTAGAGACAGCAAAAAAAATGTACTGATAAAAAAGGCTGATGTTACTAATACACTAATGATATACTCCACTCACAAAAGGTAGATAGGGGGAACAGATAGAAAAGGATCTTGAGATTTTTGTATGAGAAAAAGAAATAGTAAAAGAAACAAGCCAAGATCATCAGGACATTAAAAAAATGTTTTAAGACTTCAAAAAGAGGCCGTCTCTCAGAATTCCAAAGGAAACAGCAAAGGAAATGAGGAAACATGTAACAGATTACTTTTAAAATTTCTGGAAACAGGGAAAGCATCAGAGTAGGAAGAGGGAGCTGTAGCAAGAGGAAAACTACACACGTAAATCCTGTTGGCATCGAGATAAGACAAGACCCCTAGGTCTGTATTTTTTTTAAAAAAGAAAGAGACAAGATTAAGTAGAACAGCATAGCTGAAGAATGCAACACTTTGAATAAGACTTACGTTACCAAGTTTGTCAAACAGTAGGACAGAATCTCTATGGATAAGTCCATGCTTGAATAATACAAATATAATGGTAGCAATATACAGGCTGGACTTCTCTGGTCTGGCATCATTGGGACCTGATTGGTCCCAAACAAGAGAATTTGCTGGACAGGGGAGGTCTGCCACCGATCCCCAGCAGGCACCCTGCCTTGCTCCCCTCCTACCCCCGGCTGGGCTGCTTACGCAGCTGCTGCTGGCTCCCTGTGTGGCCCAGGCTCCAGTTCCTGTCACAGGGCTCCTATCCTGTGCCGCCTGGAGTAGCTGCAGGGCTGGGGCTCTGACCCCACCCCCATGCAGACGGGGGAAGCCGCAGGGCTCCAGCCCCGGCCCCGCACAGCCCCAGACCTGGCCCCGTACAGCTGGGGAAAGGTGTAGGGCTCCGGCCCTTTTTTCCTCTTTATGTATCTTCATAGAAGAAACCAATCTGACTTTAAGACTTTAGTCTGAGTGCGAATGTTTGGCTTTTAGGTAAGACACTGTGTTGGTTGTGTACTCAACAAATTTGAGATGGAATATTTGAAAGAGAAACATTGAGCTGCAAAATGCAGAATTTAGAGAATCATTTTTCAGAATGTCATACTTTAGAGAAAACAATTTTTTTTAAATTGGACAACCAATTGGACTACAATGAACTATGGTCTAATGAACTGAGAATGGGATTATGAGCCTAACACCTAGGAGAGCTAATTCTGGCTCTGTTACTGGCTCACAGTGTAGCCTCACAAGTAATTTAATCTTTTTGCTTCAGTTTTTCCATCTGAGAAAAAATGAAAACACCACGTAAAGTGTTGAGGGGATTAATATATATACATAATGCTTTCAATATGCAAAACATTGTGAAAAAGTTAATTACTCTTGTAAAAGATTAATTTGCTATCTCAAGATAGACTTAGCTTCTCAGCCTCCTTCTCTCCTAAAGCTTTCTTACTTTTCCACATATAGAAAGAAAGAGAATGATTAAATACATTTTAATAGTTTCTCATACCTTTATCACTTCCATAATAATAGAAGACTGTACTACTGAGAGCACACCAACGCTTCTGCCATTCAAAGCCAAGAAAACTGTGGTCTGCAATGAATATACAATTCATGTTAGACATATAAAATTTGTATTTTTTCCAGTGGGGAGAAAAGGAAAAGAGGTGTCCAGAAGGAAAACTTGGGAGTAAAAAGGAGAAGAAAATAAAAAAGAACTTGAAGATGGAGAAACAGTAAAGATAATATAGCCTTGTGTGGCATTAAAACAATTTTATAAATACTTCTATAGTTGTAACACAACATTAAACAGGTATAAGGAGAAAACATAGGGATTTATACAAATATTGACTGAACCAAAACTAAGCTCAGTATTTTTTTCTTGAAGGACTATACATCTTGATGATCCCCAAAACTTGAAGTCACACACATTGTTATATGCATTCTTCAAAAATACCCCTACATCTTTGAATTGCGTGTCACATTAGAAACTTGTTGACTCATCACAGGGCTCCTCAGTTGATAACAAACTATGATTATTTTCTTGTATGTCACAATACCAGCTACTTGAAATTTCCTCTTTTAACTAAAAGTTTTGTGATAGATTTGTCAATTTCCTCCCATATCCTGGAGATCCACCGTATTCAATGAATGGTTTACATGTTATCTTGGGTCAGGACTGTATGTAACTTCTGAAGCAGGAAGATGTGACAGACATGACACCTGGATATTCAAAGGACTATATTGAACAATGTGCCAGACAAGAATGGACTTTTCGTCAAAAAAAGAGTTCGGTGGTTTTCTTGGATAACATACAGCGGGAGAGACTGTAAATTCCTCACTTCCAGTTATGCAAAAAACTCAAGCTTTTGACGTTATGCCCTGATGAGTGGGCCTTTGTCTGTTGATTACTGGTTAAGCTCAATGGTCTGAGCTGTATAAAGGAAAGGCTGAATGCTTTGTGTTGTTCTAGTTCTGAACCTGAGACATTGATGTACTTGTAACCATGGGCAAAACTCTTTGTTGGTTTTGAAGACCGACATCTACCAGAGACTCCGGTTGGAGTTGAGGTGATTTCTGGTGAACGTGTATGTGTCTAGGTTCTTCTATTGTTTTTAAAGTTTTCTCTGTATTGCTTTCACTTTAAGAATAAATGTGCTTGGGGAAAAAAGGCAGTGTGGGAAAACAATTGTGGGCAATTATGCTATGTTTAGCCTCCAAGGAGGAAGTGGAGTTCAGATAGTGGCTGTTCAAGCCATGTGGCTTGCTGGGGAAAATACAGTGTAGGCAAGAGACCCCACAATCAAGAACAAATGTCTGCTCAAGAGAAGTAACAACTGAGGAGCTGCCTAGAATGGATGTCCTCTAAGGACCACAGAGGGGGAATACAGGTGCAAATGCCCCAAAATATGAGCTGTGACATGAGAATTCAATTTTATGGCCATTTATTTCAGCCTCCTCCCTATAACTGAATGTGTATACACACATTCATGTATAAAATAGGCTCAGCATTTTTCAAAAAACCAGCTTACTTTACCTTTTCTGCGTTTTTCAAGGTATCCAGCCTTTAAAACAAACTGAAGGTCTTGAGCAGCAATAGCAGGAAACTGGTTCCCTGACAGCAAGAAAAAAAAAGAGTATTATAAACCACTATTTTTCAAGCTAAACACTGTTCTAGCCTTATTAATAAGAGGTGGCTCAGTTTATAATGGCATGTCAAGGAACTACTGAAAGACCAGAATTCTATTAATTACTGTTCAGATCATTTTTGGCTAAACAGTCACAAGTATAATGACAAAGCTGTTAGCTGCATTGCTATGCCAATGCAGTGACAGGGAACTTATAGCTGTGACCCAGCCCCTCAAGTCTCCAAGGGGGGAGGGGGAATCTGTATCTACTTCTCAGACAAGATAAAAACTCAACATGTTATATTAATCCAGAGAATGTTACTTTGCATCTTAAAATATACAGTTTAAAGTGAGCTGCTTCATAAAAAAAAATCAGAGTTTTTCAAATGCTTATATAGAAGCAAAGGTGTTTAAATATCCTAGATACAATTATTAACTGTAATTAATTACAGAATTTAATTTTTTTTAATTATCTCCACAGGCCTAACGAAAATCTACTCAGTCTAAAAAACATGCACTCACATGCTATGTTTAGGAAGAAAGGAACCAGATGAAGGGATGATAAAAAGCATGTCTTGTTGTTGACAGATAATGTAAAATTTGTGCTACATTAGTAAAGCACTGTTAAAATAAATAGACAGCACTTGTGGATACTAGATGGACAAGACAAACACACTGCTCACAAGCTGCCTAAGCTGCTTCTTTTTATGGATATTTTTATTTTCTGTAAAAATACTGATGTGTTCACCAGTATTTGTATTCCCTTCCCAATTGTCATCTCAGAGATAGAAATCTAAAACTCTAATATTCTTAAACTGGAAGCCTAAGCACTGAGGAACATAATTAAGAAATTAGTTGAAAATCTTTACAAATGTGGAATCACTTTTTAAATTTCTAAAATACAAATATAAAAATAGAAAGAGCAGAAAAACAGCTTTAGATGTGCCCGATCATTCAAGTATACAGATGTCCAGTTTTTCCACAAGTAATCTAACCTCCTCTCTAATGCAATAGCTGTTTTATCTGAGTATCAAAATGTAGTTTTTCCTCTACTTATCATTAAATACTTATATTTAAGGTCACTGTGTGTAGGCAGAAAGTTTACATGTAAGCAAATTTTTTTATCAAAATGTTATACATAACCTTTTTAGCAATGCAGTAAAAACCAAATTAAGGATCATCATCAGAAGACTATTCTTAAGAAACCACTGTGAAATATCCCATGTAGAAACCAATTTGTCTGACCTTTAGCTGAACACTATCTCTGCTAGGTAACCAATGCCTGTTGGGCTCTTGGGTGGTCACTTAAAAAAGGATTCTGCATATATCTATTCTTCTTTGGGTACTGGTTTTGTTAATAAAATATATTTTTGATAGGGCAAGAAAAATGTTAGAGAACACAAGAACAAACAAATTACTAAAGACTACAAAAGAAATAGTCTGGAGTGGAATATACTCTGAGAAATCCATAACTTTCAAATAATAAAAATAAATTATATGGTTAAGTTACACACAATATAGCAAAGTGTATTAAAATTGCCATTATTACAAAATTGTGTTTTTACATTTGGTATTATACTATTACTTTTTTATTTCCAAATATGTTATATTAAGATTATTATATTACACCATTGTTATTTCTAATCCTATGGAATTTATTACTAGCATATTAAAAACAATAGTTATGTAGTACATTCATAAAAGTATGTGACCATAAAACTGCATTTGAGAATTTAACTTTGGACACGCACAACTACAAACATGGGAAGTTCATCAGATAAGAAACAGATTTAGTTATTAGGTCAAAATAATAACTAGCTACACAAATGGCTTCTGGCTAAAGATTTATAACTATGGGGCCGATGTACCTTAACTCAGTCACAGATGCACTGAAAAATTATTCATTTCACAATGTGAATCTCTGACTGTTGTTGGGAAAGGATGGAGGAGGAGGTTTGAGAAACAACCTTGGTGCGCTGCTTTAAATTGGTCATTGGGAGGCATCAGCGTGCAACACTTCCAGCTTTACCTCCTCCCTTAATGCTTGTTATACACTCAGAGCAAACACTGCAACCACAAAGATGGGGGAAGGGAAAACTTAATTTTTCTAACAACCATTTTTTGCTTTGTTTCTAAACATAAGAGCTTCAACACATTATCTGGATTCCAATTTTATGCAAGATTTTGGTGTAGATTTGTTTTTCCCTTTTTTTATTAGAGGAAGGGACATTTTCAGGGGACTATAATATAGCATCTCTAAGAAATATCAGCTCAATAGCCATGAACAATGAAGACCTTTATCTAGAGACCAAGAAAAGCACTGATATTAATTTCGCTACACTGTCCTGATCACAGCTGGAATCTTATTTGGATTGCCTGCCTTCCGTGGAAGAGAGAGGGGAGTTCCTAGCAATTCCACCCTTATCACTGCTAAGACTGCAAACTTAGTGCCAACTGTGATGGTGGTAGCTTTGGGAAATCAGAGATTAGCCCACAGGAACTAGACTGAAAACCAAGTTATCTCACACAGGGCACTGAAGAGCCTACTGTGCCGTAAGCTACCAGCAACAACAGAGACAGGTACTCAATACCATGCTTCTTTTGGGTTAAAAGTGGGGAGATAGGTG